AGCGTCATTCAAGTCAAGTACAGCTCAGTCGAAGTCATCAACTTTGGACTCAAGTACGCCTCTCATGTTTGCATTGGCAAGGAGGTCACATCAGGCGAGCTGTGCCTTGCCATGACCAAGTCGAACTCGTCCTACGTCACCGTTCCCAACTCTTGCGTCTTCCAGCTCAGCAGTAGCAACATTGAGCCCAAGCTCCTCCTGGGTCTCGTCCTGAGATACCTCGTGGCCTTATCCGTCGCCGAAGACATGATGGAGCAAACTGTGCTTCTCCTAGAGCCCGATGCCGCTCTCTTGGAGTGCATGAAGGAGGTCTTTGAGGCAAAGGGTGCGAGTGTCATTGCTTGCACCACAAACGGATCAAGGCGCAAGTCCTTTGATCAACGCTATATTCACCCTTACGCCAGCAACCGTGAGCTCAAGGCACTCTTCCCTGCCCATGGTGCTTCTGTCATTGACTTCCTGCCCGAGGGCAGTGAGCTATCCGAGACCATCCTTGACTGCCTTCCGGAGAACTGCGAGTACCACTCTCGCTTCTCTCTCCTGACCTCGGAGCACGTTGTCGCCCTCGGTGACTCCATGGACATTGAGCACCTCTGGGAGACAGCCATCGGAAAGGCAATCACCAATGTCAGAAGCATGAACAGCCGCATCGGTTTCCCGGCTCTGGAATCCATCTCCGTCCCTCAGCTCCTCGACCACACCGGCAGCAGCAAGCCCTTCCAGATCCTCGACTGGCGCGCTGAGCGCGAGGTGCAGCACATTGCCAAGCCCCTCTTTGGCACGCAGCTCCTCCGCCCTTACAAGACCTACGTCCTCGTCGGCTTGACACGCGACATGGGTCAGAGTCTGTGCAACCTCTTCTTCGAGCACGGCGCGCGCCACATCGTCCTCGCCAGCCGCAACCCCAATATGCATCCTCAGTGGATCGACGACCTTAGCGCCAAGGGGTGCGAGGTGCGCATCGAGAGGCTCGATGTCACCAGCATCGAGAGCGTTCGGGCGTTCAAGCAAAGGCTGGCGCAGGAGATGCCGCCTGTTGCTGGTGTCATCAATGGCGCCATGGTTCTCGACGACCGCGTGTTCGCGCAGATGGATGTCGAGACCTGGAACAGGGTTATGCGTCCTAAGACTGTTGGCTCAAGCAACCTTGATGAGATCTTCTGCGAGGCTGACATGGAGTTCTTCATCATGACTTCGTCGTTCGCGGCGCCTGGTGGCCACGGCGGACAATCCAACTACGCGGCAGCCAATATGTACATGAACGGCCTCGCCGCCAACCGTCGCATCCGCGGCCTGGCTGGCTCGGTCCTCAATATTGGTGTTATCTACGGCCTCGGTCTCCTCCATCGCGAGCGCACTGACATCTACGCGTTCCTAGAGAAGGATGGCTACCCGCCCATCTCGGAGCGCGACATCCACCACATGTTCCTCGAGGCCATCGTCGCGGGCCGCCCCCTCGACGGCCAGATCTACGACATTACGACTGGTCTCAGCCGGTACAACGCCAACCGTGAGGATAAGCTGCACTGGCAGATTGACCCGCGCTTCTCGCACTTCACCTTTGAAGAGGATGATGAGGGCGCCGAGGGTGAGGGCCAGGGCAAGCAGAGTCTCAAGGAGAAGATCAAGGCCGTCGAGGGCGGTGCCGAAGAAGTTGCGGCCGTACTCACCGAGGGCTTTGCGCGGTACCTCGAGGTCGTACTCGGACAGGGCGAGGGCAGCGTCAAGGGGGAGCACAGCGTAGGCGAGCTGGGTATGGACTCGCTTGTTGCTGTGGAGGTGAGGGGATGGTTTTGGAAGGTGATTGAGCGGGATGTTTCTGTAATGAAGATCCTGGGCAGCGCGAGTGTTGCAAAGTGTGAGTTTTTTCTCTTCCCCTTTGCTTTTCTCTGGACTTTGACTGACTTTTCGTTCCTAGTGTGTCTTGAGGTTGCCGACGGCTACATCAAGGAGAAGAACAAGGCATAAAATGCCGATACTATACTCTACGGGCTAGACCCGAGAGTGAGAGAGGAGAACCAAGAAGGGCTGTAAAATCTTCTTACGATACCTCCTCTGAGCATATGTTATATACCATCATGTCTGCGCTGCATTTACGTATGCTTTTTCTGCTTTTTTTTATTGCATTTCAGCGTGGGTGTCGGTGGATGGATGGATTTGGTGACGCGGTTGGGGAAAAATCTTGTGTTCCTTCGTCAAGTCTGTTTTAGCCATGATATCTTTTTGTGTTTGTTTGTATGATTTGGTGTATTGGGCGGGAAGGAATGCTTTCTCGACATTGGATGGGAAAAAAACTTTGGGGTTGGGATCTACTGGATTTTCGGTCGGTGACTTGCCACGTCAAGTCGTTTGTTTTTGCTTCATGCTTGGTTTGGTTATTTGATTTTTGAGATATACCACTGTCCCTACGATTATCCATAGCTGTCAGTTAGAGTCACCCGAAAGACTTATGTTCTTGACCGTGGCGTTCCCACATCTTGAAGTCGTGATGAGTTTTTCTAGTTCTCATACATGAAGTCTACCTATTCTACACGAGGCGTTCTTCACAGAGTATCCATAGATGATCGGGTATTGAATGTTTGGAAACGGACCGGGAATAGCCCACCAAGGTGAATCAAGAATCAAAACATTTCATCCCCCCAGCTCTTAAGCTTTCCAAACCCACATATTGCAATATAACCATTCGGGCTAGACACCTGACAAGACGACCGTCCAAACCCCAACTTCCTAGAAAATCCCGCTCATCCGGCCGTGACATCCAATGTGGATCCCGCCCGTTGCCTCTTTGGGGTCGGGGATGCCCTCCCTCCGCGTCCCCGCATCAACAACCACGCTACCACCCGGCCTGCCGGCCCACCATGATCCACTTTCATCTTGTCACGCTTGTCAAGGTGTGCTTCTCAAGCTTTCCCCCCCCCCCCCCCCTCCTTCTTTCAATGTTTGGCAGTTTGCTCGTATGGTCTGGTTGTTTACCAAAGCGAACCGCGGACCTGGGTCCTGCGAGCTTGGCGTTTCTTCCCAGGCACGAGATGAATCTCCGCACGAACGGGGACAGAGGGAAGGGGTCCCCCAGATACTGTCGATCCTTTTCCCGCCAATGACTGTAGGGAACCCCCTCGGGCTCAGACGAGTCTTTGAGAGCTCGTGGCTTCGGAAGCATCGCTCGATCAACTTCCCGGTTAGGATTGGGTTCACGGATGGAGGGTCCCACTAGAGATATTGAAAGCGGGATGGGGTGATGTAGCAGCCAAGAGAGAAGAAGTAAATTTCGCGTCTATATAAAGACGACCTGCCTTGTTGCCCATCCCTTGGGTCTTTGAATTTGCTAGGTTGGTCTGTTCCCTCTGGAATCACAATCCACAACGACAATGGCTCGCATCACGGCATCCGTCCTCGTCGCCGCCGGCTTGGCCCTCACCGCCAACGCGCAAGCTCCCGTCTGGGGACAGTGTGGCGGCACAGGATGGACAGGCTCGACTAGCTGCGCTTCGGGAGCATATTGCTCCTCCCAGAATGCTTGGTATTGTGAGTAAATCCCGCGTTGGGAGAGGAGAGAATGTTGGACACCTAGGGTTGACTGGCTGTAGACCAATGTGTTCCCGGGACGGCGCCGGCCGTTTCCTCTACCAAAGCCACCAGCGTCCCGGCCTCGACCACCCGCGCCGTGACAACCACCACCTCCGTCCGCACCACCTCTTCCTCCCGCGCCCCGGCGTCAACGGCCACCTCCGCCCCGTCTCCTTCGGGGCCAAAGTACTTCATCACCTTGTAAGTCACACCGCATACATACTCCACAGCAAGAGAAACGAAGCTCACCAAGACAAACAGCGGAGACTCCTACTCCCAGACTGGCTTCAACATCAACTCCACAAAACCCAACCCCCAAAACCCCCTCGGCAACCCAGACCTGCCCGGCTGGACCGCCTCAGGCGGCCTCGACTGGGTCGGCTTCATGGTCACCCAGTTCAACGCTTCCCTGACCTACTCCTACAACCTAGCCTACGGCGGCGCCACCACGGACGCGAGCCTCATCGCGCCCTACGCCACCACGGTGCTCAGCTTCATCGACCAGGTGGCTGAGTTCTCGCGCAGTCTGGCGTCCAAGCCGAGCTGGGCGCCTTGGACGGCGGATAATACCTTGGTGGGCGTGTGGATGGGCGTCAACGATGTGGGAAACGCGTTTTGGCTTTCGAATCGGGAGACATTGTTGGTTCAGGTTTTGGGAAGGTATTTTGATCAGTTGCAGATCTTGTATGATGCTGGGGTTAGAAAGTTTGTGTTGCTTGGTGTTCCGCGTGAGTTTTTTCCCGTTTTCCTGTCCCCTCCATTTGGAAGGATAGTCAGAAAGTCCGACATGGCTGGTCATACGAAGCACCACTCGCAGAGACCACATATCAAACTAACAACCTCATCTGCACAGCAACCCAAAAGACTCCCCTTATGCTCGCCAACGGCGCCGACTCCAACGCCCAGCTCGCCGCTGCCATCAAGCAGTACAACGACCTTATCACCAGCAACCTCGCCGCCTTCAAGGCCAAGAACTCGGGCATCACATCTTGGGTCGTCGATACCACTCCCGCGTTCGACAAGGCCATTAACAACCCGACCGCCTACGGCGCTCCCGACGCCACGTGCTACAATGCTGATGGCGTTAGTTGCCTGTGGTTCAACGACTACCACCCTGGCGTGCAGATCCAGAAGCTTGTGGCGCAGGCTGTTGCGGCGGCTGTAGGTTCGCCGTGGTTCACTTGTGAGTTGTCCCTTTCAATGGCATTGCGTGCTTGTTTTCTGACGAAAGATGTAGCATGATTGGGCTTGGCTTCAGGTTGCTGGCAGAGAAGGTAGTTGTCTAGGTAGTGAATCTAAGCTGCACCGGATGCGATGAGAATTGCCCAAATCTGTAACGCGTATTGAATATCCTGACTAACATAGAGATCTCAACTTGACAATCTAAGTAAGATATCTTAAACTCCATCTTGGTGCTCATAGTTCGTCAAGGATCAAGACGACTTCACAAGATCATCGCTCACGAAAACAACACGCGTCTTGCCTAGTCCCGCCTCGCTCCATCCCTTCTCAATATCCTTCATTGCAATCACCCTGACTTCCTTGCCCTTCAAAGCAGCGGTCACACCAACCATTCCACCAAGCTCGCTCGCATACTCCCTCATGAGCCAGCTGCCCGGTCCAGCACCACGGAGCGCGACCCTCTTCCCTCGCAAGATGGCTCCAGGGAGAGTAATATCCCCATCACCAGACACGGAGCCAATGTGTACATACTGCACCTCCCTCTCCGACTTGGGCAAGGCCTTGAGCAGTTCCACCACAGGGCTTCCATAGACGTAATCCAGTACAACATCCACTTCGCCCAGCTTTGACCAGTCCGTCTCCTCGCCATTGAGAATGATGCGCTCGTCGATCGGGATCTCCTCCATGGCAGTAGCATTCCTCGCGATACCGACAATCCGACCGGCACCCTTGGCACGAGCAACATCAACAGCCACGCGCCCGCTAGCACTTGTCACACCCAAGATCGCGACAGAGAAGCCTTTCTGCTGCGGTGCCGCGCGCGCAGACAGCGCCATCCAGCTACTCATGACGGGATTCATGTAAGCAGCGACGACAGCAGCGTCCGCGCCCTCTGGGAGCGGTGATACAGCGGCTCGGTCAACGTTGACGAATTCCGCAAAGCTGCCTGTCGCGAGGGCGGCGAAGAAGTAGCGTTGACCGGTGGTCGGGTCCTCGCCTACGCCGTCTGCACCGGGGAGGTGAGGGAGTGTGGAAGCGGTGTAGTGTTTGCCCGAGGCGCGGGAGAGAACGAGGCGGTGGACGCCTGTTGCGAGGACGCGGAGGCGGATTTGTGTTGGGGATGGTTCTGGGAGGTCCGGGACGGTTGTGTAGGTCGGGGGTGAGCCCCAGGTGTTGACGAGGGCTGCGTGCATTGTGTATGGGTGTGATTGATGGACTTGACCGAGATTGTTTGATGAAGAAGACAAAGTTGGTAATGCGCTGCTTAAATACTGACTTGAGGGTTTAGAAAAGTTGAGACGATGTCTGGGACCGAGACAGTTATATACTATTCGACAGCTAAACAAAGAAAGCCAGACAAACATTGTAACCAACCGCATCGTTCAACATTCCAGGGCCGGCAAGTTACCTCGACATACATAGTCCTACTCAAGTACCCGTCTTACACACTTAGACACTTAGTGGCGGCGCCACTGCGAGACGCTGAGCATGCAGTCTTTTGCGTAGTAAGCAAGCCTAAACCACCCCTCGTCTCGTCTCGTCTCGCTGCGCCGCGCTCGGCATTAGAAAGTAAGCCGCGCGCGGCCGATGACCATGCCTCCCATCTAACGGGCCCCAGACTAACGAGTTCATCTCGCGTCGCGGTGGCAAAAAAATGGCCTCAAGCTTTCTTTCCCGCGCGACAAGCTTTCGTGTAGGGCTGAATGGGCAGCGGGCGGTACTAGCTTGACTGGCTAGCTTGAGAGACACTAACCGGACTGCGTAAGCCGTGCGGAGCGGGTTGTAGCAAGTTTGTGTGTCATCCGGGACGCCGGCACCGCAAGCGAAAAGTCCGTCGGCCTTCCGGAGGTCAATGGATCCTCCGCTCCGTACGGTACGGATGTTCACCAGCACCCTCAACGGCATCAACTGACGTAGAAGGCTCACGGAAGACGCCTCTTTCCTTCACGAATTGTTAGCTTCTTGTATGTTTTTGAAGTATTCTTAGAAGCCTAATGTGAGGTAGCATTAAGTCTATGAAGGTTTTGAGTGATCTCTCCGCCGTCTTGGAGGGCTTAAGGCCAAAGTCATCCTAGAGTAGGTGCAATACTAAGTGGAGATTGTTTTACTCCCAGCTCGGGCGGGCCCGAGACGCGGGCGCTATTAACAACATAACGTAGATCTCGGTACTGTCTCAGAGCCGACCGGGTGGCTCTGGGCTCCGTCTTTACATCTCCATTACATTCATTCTACCGACGTCCGAACGTTTCGGCCGAGCTCATGAAGATCTCATTAATAATATTGATGTACCTAATACTTGAATTGTGGCCTTTGCCGTCCTCCCTGGGTCTATTTTGAGGCCAAATTGTTCATTCCACATGTCGAACCGGCTTTGGTACTGGCTAGACCGTAGAGCGAAGCGGCCTCAGACCACCTCGGAAATCAAATCACATATTACCGCTCTATTCAACTACTGAGTTGAATCTTGAACTTGGTCTTGCGGGACAGTGCTGTTAGTACACACGTCAGCAGAGCCGACCTTTCGGTTGTGTTGAAGCCGAAAGGCGTAGGTAGGACCCTTCTAAGAACATCAACGGTTCGAGCAAGGTCTTACGGTGATAAAGATATCATGAAGAAGGCACCACATCTAGAATCGCAATCTTTTAATATTTGGACCTAAATTATATGTCAAGTGATTCAAATCTGATCAGATTATCACATAAGGTAGTTGTTAAGTCTACTTACCCATTCACCAGACTTTGCTGCCTGATAGGCGCGTTATCATATAGAAACACAAGAAGGATTAGCCCTCAAGCATTTAGGGAAATGTACATTCGTTTAATAGAATGTCCAGGGTTCATTCGGAAGTGGAAAACTTTCCATCATGATGTCGCTGAAAGAAGCTCAAGAAAGATGTTATTCCGTCTTCAGATCATCTAACCTCTGAGAGATGGAAAACAGCTGGCTGAAAAACTTCCAACTCTGACGCCTGTTCCGCAGAAATGTATGGATAATATGGTACAATTCATAAGTAAGTGCCCTTGCCACTGTCTGGAAGTTCGTACAAACATGGCTGCAAACCAATGTAGCTTACATACATATCATGGGTGGCGAGACGGGAGCGAATATCGTGGGGACTAGTGGTTCGCAGGCAGCTTTAGAGTAGGTAATAAAATCATGGCCATCGAAAATAGCTAAAAGTAGCGAGCCAAGATTCTTGTCGTGACATGCGCTCAACCCGCCTATCATTTATCGTAATGACGATGATGTCTATAACCTGGGTATCGGAATGTCTAGTTCCACACAGCACACTTGATAGCCTCCACGATTGTTTCGCTCGCCTCGTAACATTGCGTTGTGTTTGAGTTACAATTGTCTCTAAAAATCACTACATCCGTTATGTTTGCAAGAAATTTCGAGTTGATACAATCCTAGTATGGGGTCGACAACAAGGGCGCATTGTGTAGATGAGCCGCAGCGCTTGGGAAGTATTAGCCGATTTCCTGCCTGGAGGACCGATGTCGGACTAGAGTCGTCAGCGTACATGTGCGTTCCGCATAGACCAAGAAGCATTCCGCTTTCATGTAACATGGGCCGTCAGCCAATGCCAGAGCTGTCTAGATTATTCTAGCGGTTCACATCGGCAATGCATATGCCCTGGCCCACTGCCGTTTGGTCGTCTTTACGCAATAGCAATCGTGAAGATAAGCCTGCTATGACAGGACAAAACGGTCGCCAAACCCTTTGAATCCTTGATGCTAAGGTCAACACCTACCATCAGTCAACACTGTGTGCCTTTCACTACCAAAAGACGCCAGATCCTCCAGCCATAATGCGGAATCCTGCCATACAAGATGTACCGACGCCGGTTATTGTTCGACAAGCGACAGGCGCAGCTGATATGACTGCCGCCAGGAAATGCTTTGAAGCGTACACGGAATGGCTGGACGAAGATATCTCTTTCCAAAATTATGCCGAAGAGCTCAAAGATCTACCTGGAAAATACTCACCTCCATCCGGCGCACTACTTCTTGCCGTAGACTCGACAAGCAGAAACATCCTTGGGTGCATTGCGATGCGACCTCTGCATCTCGAGTCACGTTATCTCCTGGACCGCCGACCCGACGCTCGATACTGCGAAGTCAAAAGACTGTTCGTTTACCCGGAGGCGAGAGGCAAGCAAGTGGCCAGACTTCTGGTCTGTGAGGTACTGCGGCGCGCGGAGGAGCAAGGTTACGACGAGGCTCTTCTCGACACCATGACCAAGATGCAAGCTGCAATTGGACTGTATGCTTCGGAGGGATTCAAAGAAACATCCCCTTACTACCACAACCCTCTCAACGGAGCCATGTATATGTTTAAGAGGCTGTCCAAACTCTAAGTGAGGAACATGCTGCTCAAGTTATGGCCGTTTCTGGTAGATGGGGCCATGTCAAAGCTGCGTTGGCTATGGATCAAAAAACCAGAACCCGATCGTGGGAAGAAAAAACTACGTAATGATCGAGAGAGTTTCTCGCGGTTGCTTCTCAGCTCTGTAGACAAAGCCAAAACTAGGGATCAACTCACTGCGCCCTACAAATGCCTTACATGTTCCGTTCACCAGCCATAGTCCACCCGCATCTTAGATTACGGTCTACATGTCAAGGATCGGCAGCACTACGTATATGTACCCAGGCCAGGTCTCTAGGCTCGTCAATCACGCCCTTTATTCTCCTGCAGTGAATCAAAGTCGGTGAAACTCTGTTACGAATTGAAACAGATCAACCAAATGCTGATGATAGCGCATGAACTAGATTTGTTGGGCGGGTTTCATCAGCGAGTGGGTGAGGCTAGGTAAACGACGAGGAACGATAGGGTTGCAGCATGATGGCAGTCATCGAGTCTTGGTAGCCTCGTATTCACGGAGCCAAGATAATTCGATCGACTTCTGCATGCCAGTAATCTATATTCAACTGGGGTTTTGTTAGGAAAACAACAACCTTTAGCGGAACAATAACGCATTGCCGAGTTTAGTTACGAGAGCGTCATAGGCCGCGTAGAACCTTAAGGCGTCCGTGTAAACAAGATGAAGAATAGGTTTTGCCGATTGCGTGCATGAAAAAGCCCTATAGGAAGAACTACGAAGCACTTTCCAGCTATTTAGGCCGATGTGAGTCTTTGTGACACAAGCTAACAGACTACGGTGATGCCAATTGTCTAGCATATCGCTGATCTGGGAGAAAGAAAGGCTGGTATCATGCTTAGGCCCCTCAAGGCATGATTTATCTCCACCAGTGTCTCGTTCAAAGGTCCATCACAATAATATGCACTGTTTGCCCTGACCATAACTACGGACTTTGGCTTCGGCTTGCACCTACTCTTCGAACAGAATCAACTTTGCCTGGTATTAACGGTCATTATCCCGCGGCATGTGGCTCCCAGTCTCGGGGTTATTGGGCGCATTGTCTTCATCACGTCGAGAGCGAGTTCTCGAGCAAGGCGTTTGTATGCACTGTCGCTGTAAGAATCCCGAGCCAACGAGGAACGTGCAAGAGGACTTCGTCCAATGAACGAATATCCAGACTGGATGAAATGGCTTGATAGCATCCGTAAAGGATCGCCTAGCTTTACATGAGCATTGACACCAAATGCCTGGTCATACTCGGAGTGGACTTCGGCGTCGAGAAGTTTCGTAGCTCTAGTTAAGATGGCTCATTCTGAATGAGGGGGAAGACAGAAACACAGTTGACTTATGCCCTCTCATGTCTGGCCTTTCGTGTCCGGCGGCTGTGAGATTAAGATTCAACCGGCTTAGAAGATCTGCCAACGGGAGCTAGACAGAAGGGCTCGGCCGATGTTGTGCAGTCTTGAGGTCTTAACCAAAAATGTATCCATTTCGTCGAGACCCGCGTCTGACTGTCCTACGTCTTCCTCTCTAGCGCTGTCTCTGGTATCGAGTTTCTGCACGTCTGTCTTTGCGGGGCTTCACAATGGGCTTGTTCAAGCGAACGGTTGCCAGACGAGACGCTCTGGAAAGCTCGACATGGGACTAGATGCGAAGAGCGATATGCTCTCTATCTGGATGAGGACACGACAGGTCTCGCACTGAATCTCATGAACCTGGATTTCGCGGCCGAGTGCTGCATATATTCTGACGAATCCTCGGAGTTGGTTTCCAACGGTCAATTCTCAAACAGACCTTCTCCTAAGTCTAGAGATAACGGTTACTGAATATGGTGTGTCGTGACACCAAACTCTTTCTCGGCATGCACTGAATCGTCTGGGATGAGAACATCGAAGCCAAGATGAACGGGGCTTGAAAATGGCTGAGAGTCCGCCGGAGTTGAGGCCGATAAATGAGGCTTAGAATACTGCCGATATTTGCTTCCGGCGGGAGGGTTGCAATGGTTGATTCTATCGCACACCATCGTATTAACAAATTAGGTATCCCGGACTTTAGGTTCCTTGTTCAGTTGGGACAGGTCTTGTGATTGTCATCTCGTTTGGTTCATGTCGGCGTCCTCGCCGGTTCGGCGAGCGCACCGGGAGCCCCTTTTTGCAAAACCCAAACCCACGATCCAGATGACACAACACACACGAGACCGAGTAAAGCCAACTAACTTCTCAGATGTCTCGATCTGTCTGTACGGAGTAATCATCTCTTAATCGGACAAGACTTTACACGAGTCGCGACGAATCGGAAAACGGCGGCCTAGGCATCGGCCCGTAGACATCGCAACCCAACCTCTCCAACAGTCACCTGTCAGGGCGATGAGGGACCGAACTCAACCTTTTCGCTTCATCTGGAATGAGGTCGAATGCAAGATGCGGCATGTGCACAAAGATTATTACAAAGTCCTACTTATATCGCATGCACATTTAAGAGCTTAGGCTGTGAGAGCTACCCAACCCTGGACCCGATCTTCAGACAAAGATGGAACATGTCAAACAGCATAGCCTCCACAGGATAGGAGAATTCCATCTTGTGCCCATGATTCCAGAAACCCCGTCTTGCTCTTGCAATCAGACATAGGGAATTCGCCTCAAAGATGGGTCTTTCAATCTCGCCGTCTCCAGCTTTCTGATTCACGTCTCCTCAGCCCAAAGACGTTGGGCATCACTACTCCATTTTCAAGCTTCGGGCCCCCATCTATCTGGCTGTGGAGCTGAGAGATCTTCAGGGACTTTGAGCTACACCAAAGTCTTAGCAAGCGGAGGCGTGTTGCCCGCATGTTGTAGACTTGCTCTAGTGTGGTGTAGATACCGCCTATCATTGCTGTATCTGCCTTGAATGGAGCTGCGACCCGAACGTAAGGCAGCGTGGGTCGATCCTTCAGCCGAGGGATACGGTGGAGAAACCTGGCGAGAAGACAATGAGTGCCGTTCGACTGCCGTGGATCACAAACTGGGTGGTGCGCGAATGCTTCAATTACAAGAACTTGGTCGAGGAGACGTAGAGATACCCGAGAAGTTGTGCCGTGCCGGGGCGGCTGCATCCCTCAACGATCTAGAACAGGAATACATTTCCCTTAGTCTTTGGGGCGACCTTAAGCACACCCTCGACAATACTCGGAGCCCGATAGTGGTATATTATGGCATGTTAGAAGTCTAGCGAGGTCTCGTTGCTGCATCACCGGTCGAGGCCTCAAAGTCTAGGCCAGAGGACGGTAGGATTCGTACTCCTACCTTACCCACCCCTTAAGCCCTTGTCATTCTTCAGCAAGCTGCAGTCTGCATCGCCTGCGTACCGACAGGATCGAAACGACGATCTCGGTGCAATGCACCCGGTCAAAACCAATCAGCTTTGATGCCTCGGTCCATATGATCCCGACGTATATTCGTGCATAACCAAAGTCACCAATCAACGGAGACAGCGGCGAGGCACACATCGGAGAGGTCCGCCTCTCTCGCAGGTTCGGTACGAGGACAGCGTTTCAGCGGCCTGTTCAAGGGTGTGTGAATGATGTATCCTGCCGGCAGAATGGCACATCTGGGGCAATATTCCCGCCGGGCGGTGTCATTAATGATCATAGAGTCACACACACTCTTCTCTTTCTAGATAGCTCTCCCCACAGTGGCAGACCAGACAGATGCGGACGGCAACGGGCGGTGGGACGAACCGTTCAGGCGAACCAGCGTGCCGGCGCGAAAGCGAGAGATGGGAAAGTACGGATAATCAACCCGCATACACGGTTTCTTTTTTCCCGGCTGGGCTTGCTGTGCAATGACTCGGTTGACGGCAATTCGGTCGAGTCACAAAGCCGTCTTTTCTATCACACAGCGCGGTGGGACGATGTACGAGCATCCGTACTCTGTACAGTCGCAAACTCGCTGCTTATTTGCTTCCGAACACACGGTCTTCTGAACGGAGGACGTCGGGATAGGCCCGAACGAGGAACGGACGAAACTCCCGGGCCAGCTCCTTGAAAAGAACATAGATTCTAACGATCTAGCCTAGCTGGCGTAGCGACGCGAGGAGGCTGACCAGGGAAAAGAAAACTTGTTTCTAGCGCGCGTGGAGTTTGGACTGCATCTCCCGCATACCTCAGCCATCCGTAGCATATGTTCCATCGAACAGCACTGCACATCTCGAGGCCAGCGGGTCAAGGAGTGACTGATGTGTTGACGCACATCCACATCGCGATCGGCCACGTCAAATCTCCATTGCAGTCACCGCCCCATTCTCGCTCGACCTCTTTGCCCCCTCAGCAAAAGAACAAGATGAAGCCAACGTCGCACCCCGATCATTCCACGTCACGGAGTACAGCGACCGGACAGGAATGGAGCCCGGCTATGGTGTTTGATGAGAGCCCGCTCCCATTCCACCCCCAGGGCCAAAAAGAACCCATATCGGAAATAGAGCCTGCAATTCTTTTACGAATCAGATTCCGGAACCATGCCATTGGGAACCCCCGAGACAGCCCAGCGGATCACGCGTTGATTGGCCTAGCGGCTCGGAGCACTGGGATAGAACGGTACTGGCGTCAGCCACATATGCCAGCCGAGCCAGGCTGCTGGGACTTTTTGCTGCCCTGGATATAGCTGCCGGGGCGGCAGACGAGATTTGACCCTGACGTGGAGTTTCTACGAGGGGGGGATTGAATGGGTATTCTGTAGGGACGAAATGACGAATGGCGCTGATTCCCTGCTCACTTCCGAGTCTTGACCCAGATGACGGACGCCATCGCCGGCTGCCAGCTGAGAGAGGAGGAGAGAGAAAACTCTGCACCAGAGGGACGGAACCGCCGGTCGTGATCCACGGCGCTACTCATCAAGCGAAATCCACGCTCAGGCAGGGCACTACGGAGTATAGGCAGAGAGAATGGACACACTGTCACACACGCAACCCATTCGAAAATAGTAGCATGATGGTGTATCTGTACGGTTACGCCCTCCGGCCGCTCAAAGTGAGCAGAACGAATGATCGGCTGCTTCGAGTCCCACCCCGGAGTTGACCGCTGGATCAGCACCGAGCTATCGAAAAGGAAAGGAGGAGGCCACCGATGAGGCCATCGCAGAGCGCGGTATGAGGGCGAAAATGCCTCCCTGCGTGCCAGTGGGAGCATGTTTCAAAATCATCAAAAAGTTTGGTTCGATACTTTGATAGCAGCGTCGGCTATTTTGGACTATCCCGCCCTGTCTATTGTGCAGTAGTGTGATGCCGGCAGGATATCTGCATCACAGGATGGGTTTGGTTATGATTAAGGACAGGATTTTGCTACCCTTACACATCAGTAACGTAGGGTAACCAGGTCTTTCGTGTCTTTGGTTCTTCAACCCGCTCCTCCCACGCGCTAGAAGCGAGCTAGAAACCTCTGCCTGGGATGTCAAGTTCTTCAGAGGGTCAGGACAAGGGCCTCCCCTCGCCTGACTCGTCCAGCGGTCAATCTCACAACCTGCGTCCCCGACAGGGCCACGCTCGTGACAATCTTTAGCGGGCCACAAACCCCTGGACGCAGGTTCACCGGTGTGGAGTAGGGCCTTCATCGAGTCCTCTTTGCGGTCAAGAGGATTTGCAAGACGCCCGCACCACTGGTCCCCTCGAAAGTTTAAACTGCCCAGGGGCCGGGGATAGGCCCAAGGGCCTGCTATCTTCACTCAGCCGTTGAATGCTTAGTGGTCTTGTACTCTGGAAGGCTTCTTGAATTTCACCGGTTGGCTCGGACATATGGAAAAGAACGGTTTCCTCGCATATGAGCTTACTGAAGTTATCACACAAGACATCGGGTTCTGGGCGTTTACGGCACACCGGTCATACATATCGGTCGTAGCTTGAAGTCACTAACATTCGATCTCATCATCGGGCGACGGGCGACGACTAGAAGCTATTCGTCCGACATGCCGAGAGAACAGCTGACTTTTTCCCGCCTCACCTCCTCTGTCGAGACTGGCGCCTACCGATTACAAGTCAAAGAAGCGACGTTGGGGGTACGAATATGTCATAACATCAAAGCGTTGACGTGCAGCAGAGATGAGTTCGCGGGCATCGTCATGTCAGTGAGGCACAGAGTTCATGCTCAGGTCAAAGCGAAAAACGCACCCGGGCCACACTGAGACCTACGTCTCACGTGAAGCACTGCCCATTGTCGATCCTGATAGAAAACTCTTGGTATGGATTTGGCGCTTAGAGAAACGTCGGATCCGCTCGGAGAAGACAGCGTCGGAGAAACGCAGCGCAGCGGGTATGTCGAGCCGCGGCTCTCTGTCATTGATCTTGGAGTACATCTCCAGCCAAGACCAAGAACACCAAAGTATCGTCGTTCCCGGGGAAGCAACGCAGGCGGAAAACCATGGGCCCCGACCCGGACCGCAGCATTGAGCTCTTGCCGACACTTGGCTAACATGGCTCTTTTGCTCTCGGGGCAGGCAAACTGACGTCGTGCTGTCGTCTTCTTTGCGGCATCGGCGAGATCGCCGAAAAAGTCAAAAAGCATAATGAGGTTAACTTGCTGCGGGCTCAAGCTTTGCGAGGGGGATGAGTGAGGGTAAGGGTGAAGGAAGGGGAAGGGGGTGGTGGTTTGGATCGTTGGAGATTTCCATTGCAGCATTTGGCAGGCAGCGCACGGTCGATCCGGTCCAGGGTGGATGGAACATGGGCAAAATAGTCACCTAATATTGCTTCCCTCCCAAATTGTTATCCCGTACGGATGGATGCCTTCAGCAAGGCCGGCATCAACCGGTGACAGGTATGATGAGTCAAGTGCACAACTCTCCCGCAAATTTACCAAGAGTCGAGACTTCTCGAGACGAACTCGAAGGGCCAAGCGATAATTAGGTTGCTGTGGGATGTAAAGAGAACGACTGGTCGTTCCCCCCTTTGCCTTCATTCAACTTGTTGACCGGTGGTGGGTCAGATGTCAAACTATCTTCATCGGTCTGGCGAAAGGGAACACCCATCACGTTCTCAACGGGTTTGAACGGGCGAGCTCCTTGCTAAACACGAGGCGCTACCATCCATCCGCGATACTACCGGTGACGGGGCCGGGCGGCAAGCGGCCGGGGCTGACGGAAAGGGCTGCGCCGGTCGATGAGTAGTGGAAGGGGAGAAACCGTCGACCAGTGGCTCCCCCGTTGAATCGAATGACATTTTCCACGTGGTGAAAGGATAGCCCCGTCGGGAAAACGCCAGCTTGCGGAGGCTGCGGAGCGAAGACGGGCACACACACACAAAGACAAGGCGAATTTGAAACGTCCCCGAGAATGGGACGATAGTCAACCCGTCTGGGAACGCCTAGCGGGAAGTCCATGTCCGCAGTGGAGAGCCACGTAGAGCCACTTCATCAGCTAGAAGTTCTCTAATATGGGCATGAAGTGGGTGGACGACGCCACGCGAACAGCTGCAAGTTGCGAGTTGTAACTACTGACCGCTGGCTCTCAAAAGACCCTGGATGGGGAAAACGGAGACGAAAAGATGGATACGATATTAAACCAAAGAAAACAGCACATATTTGCTAGGAAGATGTCGTCAGTGCAGTCACATAAAAGAAGCGGTGACCTTATCAATCTCGTCGGAAATGATGGCCTCTGCATCGGAAGATCCAGGTTCTCACTAGCGTCGGCACCTTGAGAGGTAGCTGGAGCTCGGGGAAAGACAAGGCTCACGTACTTTATGTACGGTTACTGCAGACTGCTTTGAGTGCTGGCTGGTCAGGGCGAGTAATATGGTACGAAATGGCATTGGGATGCGCCTCTCCGTCGTTTCGCCTTGACAAACGATTTCTGAATGATCTCCGCAAGACAGGGGCTGGGCCACGTGCAGACCGATGGGCTGTGTCCCAAACTCTCGCCCATCGATCTGGTTGAAGAAATGAAATAAATGAATACATGAGAAAAAGTGACCTGACATGGCCTGGTAGGCTGGCACGCCGCACGCCCTCGAGCCTTGGACGTGTGGACTGCCGAGGCATAATATGGATGGGGATGTACTTATGCCCCCCAGGCCCTGCCAGAACTGCGGACGCACAAAGACATGCATAAGTTTGAACCCCGGTATATGCCCATTGCATGCGACGGTGCGAGATCCAGAGACTGGGTGGTCTGGGCAGATACTTTCGAGTTCCCGCGCTTCTTGTTACATTTTGCGGAATATTTCTTGACCTCAGCCAAGCCAAGAACAACGTCTGTTTTGCAACTGAAATCCTTAAATGAACTTCTCTCTCTCTCTCATCTCATCGTGGTGAAAGTGAGGCAACTAGTTTGAATGCCTGCCCCAGAGTCACTAAGTCGTTCTCGGAAAGCGTTCAGCTGTCACACTGCAGCCATGATGCCCGTTCCAGAGAGGACTGGGCTCTACTGATAGACTCCAGAGTCTCATTAGACGTGGGAAACGCTGCCTTGACTCGAGTAGCGCATTACACCACCTCCGGCACCTATCCGTACGGATTCCGCCAGGGAATATGTCTGAACTGCCCGTTGCTCGACGTCGACTGTCGAACCGTTCTTGTCAGTACCGTTCGTGCGTGAAGCCAAGCCCTGCGTCGGCACCGCGCGGCTGCGCCAGCATTGCGTTCTGCATCTACCCTTGTTGTGCTGCATCGCTTTCTCTTTCTCTGTCAGAACTGCCTCCTTCTTTCACGTCCTCGGCGCGAGTGCGGGGAGTTGTCATGTCAAATGTACAATGTACCGGGCTCTAGGGCCATGCACAAGAGGACCGTACCCTTAACCTTTGGGTCTCGTCATTGCCCCTGTCCGGCTCTGTAGCATCGAAGGTCCTAAAGTTCCCAGCCCAGGTGACGAGAATAAGATCAGGGAAGCTGCATTGTTGCCCCCCTCAGTTGCATTTCAATCTGGCTTTCGTCTCTGAGTGAACGCGTTCTTGCCCTCCTCCGCACCCCTTGATCGTCTCGTTTCTCAGCTCTACCACGTCCAGTGACGACTCACACCCAGACCCCTTGCACAAGGGGGAGGGTCCCCGGTGGATGTCCCACGGTTTCCGGGCCTTGGTCACTGATGGCACGCAGTGAGAAGCGCACGTTCTTTGCTTCCATAATCCCTGCCGGGAGCTCGAAAGTCATGTGTCTGGGGACCCATTTCTGATTCGTAATTGGTGAAGAGAGACCTGGTCAAGGAGACGACAGAGAAAGAGCGTATCCGCACTCCGTAGAGAGGCAACAGCCAGCCCATCGCCAGGCAAGGCACCTTGTCGAGAGAGAAGAGCTGTGAAGACGCACTAGCGTGCAACATCCCGACCAAATCTCCCAAGATGGTTAGTTTACTCACTGTGAGAAAACTCTCTTTCTCTACCCTCCTGCTTCTGGTATGGCTTGGTGTTTAGCGTCAGCTACTTTGATGGTGGCCAAGGATCACCAACCGTCCAAAGTGCACACTTCAAGCAGCTCAACAGCTGTCTTCTGGCTCGCTGGTCCTCCATCGCCCCCAGTACATTCCCCGTTTTGCGTGGCCCTCCTCCTCAAATCTTGCGCCTTCGTCGAATAGAAGCTCGAGGAGGGCAACGTAGTTTTTGGGGACGAGCCGGTGCCTGTTTCGCTATCTCTGGTCGTGTTGCCGTCCGTGAAGAAGGATCACCCCTGGCGCCAATTAGTCTCGAGAGCCAATTTGGGGCAAAACTGCCCTATGGCAAGCCATGTACGTCTGGCGTGGAAAGCCAACTCAAGCGTCGTTATGGTTTGTTTGGCTACCCGTGGTGCCCGGCCAGCCACCAGTAGAATAGCACGGGTCCATCCAGTGGGTTTTCCGTCCCCTTTTACTTTTTCCACAAACCATGACGCTGAGAGCATCAATGGCTGGCGGCATGAGGGCAAAGATTGCAAAGCAGCACGTACGCACACTGGCGCGGAGGGAAGACCTTTGGCCACCAAACCAAACGAGACCAGGCCGAGCAACCGATGAGAAAACGGAGCCACAAGAGTCGAGGAACCAGATCGTTACGTAGGGACTGCGCGGCGCCGGTCTGGTATGCGTACCTGGGATGGTGGGAAGTCGCCCGCCCATGTCTCTCGCTGTGTAGGTTCCTTGCTTGAGCTTTGGGTCAGTTTACCTACCCCATACGTATGACTGACGAACAGATAGACAACATATCCAGTGCTGTGCAGCGGCAGCGTGTGCGACTCGAACTGTGCGTCCATGTATGTATCCATACAGATGTACTATTCCTACGAGGAGGAGAGGAGACTCAGGCACCACACTCCCCCCAGGACGGCCCAAAAACCTACGTACACCCCCCTCGGACCGGGCCTGAGCCTGAGGGATTGTGCTCCAAATGGCGACGAGCAAAGAGCCTGAACACTGCGCGCACCCTTCCTGTTCGGCTTGCCGCATCAATTGTATCTTTCTGCCCGATCCGTCCGTCCATTCTCTTCTCCCACTCACTCACAAGCCACCTCTATGGCACCAAGTTCCAGTGGCCCACGGCCTGGGTTTCTAACCTTTCTGGAGCCAAAGAGCAAGGGCCAAGGGGGCAATCATAATTCTGGGACCATGATGCTTGCTGCCCGTCAGTCTGGTCTGCCCCCCGCCGGCTCTGGCTGGCTAACTAGGACTCAGGTACATCAGTGGGAGCGTGTTTGTGTCTCTTCCTACGGATACTCTCACTTGCCTCGCCCTCTTCCTTCTCCCTCAGTCTGTCTGTCTCTTTGGTCTGGCCCTCCCACTCACCCCCCTTCGTCCCGTTTACCTTACATACAGTGGGGACCCATTAGTGTCCATACAGCGCACAGTATCCCGCAAAATCAGGGATTTTCAACAGTAAAAATAAGCATTAAGTATAGTAATAAAAATAAAAATAAAAACATAATATAATATATTAAGTAATAATTTATTATATTATAAAGTTATATTAGGTTTTATATTAAATTTGCTGTGTTATTAAATCTTTATTAAAATATAATAGGATGAACTTTACTTATAGTGGATTATAGGGCGTTAAGAGTGCGAATAATACTGTGTTTGTTAGTACGTTTTTAAAAAATTCGGGTACTAGTTTTGTAACTATTAATTAAGTAATAGAAAAAATTACTAAAATTTTATAAAAATAATTTTTATATTATTTTAATAGTAAAATATTTTTAAGAATTTTCTTAGTTATAATTATTACTTAAATAGCAGAGATATTACTTATATTAGTATAATGAAGTTAGTGGGTTTACGCTGACGCACTGGGAGGTGTATTGAAACTAATGGGTCCTCACTGTATACCTCCGACGTAGCGGTACTTGTATGGCCCTGACCTTGCATGACAATCCCAGCTACATTCTTTGCGTGGATTTCCCTGAGCGTCGTCGCCCAGGCCATCTATATACAGAACCTCCAAGCACCTCTCTCACACGCTCTTCACACTCCTCGCCTTGTTCCCCATCCGAATCCACACTCTTGACAATACTTCGCCCCGACCTTTAAATACAAACGCGCCCACCCTTTTCTCGACTTTGACGACGGCTTCACCGTATTTCCAGCTCTATATCGATCTTTTCCCACCAGAACTTCTCCCTCCTTGTTGTTTTCTTCTACCAAGTCTTGAACCTTTCTCGCCAAAGCCCGTATCTGCTGGCCACCACACACCCCTGACTGTACGACTCGGATCCCCGCCGCCACTGGTTTACACCGTACTCAACCCATTTCGACTAATACCCGCCGCCTGGGTTTTTTCCTTGTCCCTTCGGATCTACCTCCGGTCACCACGTCCCACGAAAAACACAACACCCAGAAAGCAGCAGCAATGTGCAACTACACTCAAGTACGTCTCGACCAACAAACAACGCATCTTCCCGACGATGATGGATATTTGCTATTCACGCCAGGACTTTGGATTGACATTTTGGTGCCTCACAGAGAGAATTTCACTGCGGCCACGTCCGCTGGATCGTCTCGCGGTGGTGCCCAGTCTACACTCGCACACAACGACGCTGCCCACCGTGCGTGACACATTTCGAGTATAGGTACGTCCGCTGTCGTTTCTTTTTCCCTTCACCATGGCGCCCTCTTGCAGATCTTGACGGATGAAACCGAGTCATTCTTCCTCGCCCTTCCTCTCTGACTCTTCTCTTGGACAATATACTGACGTGCATCAAAAATAGGGGCGATGAAGTTTGTGGTATGTCCTCTCTCCACGGCAACGCCGTCCTCTATCCTTCCTTTGCTCTTGGAGAGTCGATCATCGCCCATTCATCCACGCCGGGCAGGGGTGCGTGCTTCTGCTGTGTCTGTCTGCTGCCACGGAAATGGGATTGTGTCTCCAACTCCACTCTAACTCCAAGCACCTGGAATTGGGACTGGCATGGGGGTGTATGGCAAGGAAATTTGGCCCGCCCAGTCTCCCTGTTCACCCTCTCAGAGCCAGAGAGCATAGAGCAAGCCCAAGCATCGATTACAGACACAGCAGCAGCAGCAACCTTTCTCCCATGTGGCGGTTGATGCGGTTATTCTCTCAGCTTTCTTTTCTCTTTTGCCTTTACTACCCTGCACTTCCGTTCTAGACTTTGGAGCTAACATGTGTCTCATCGTAGGCGAATGCAAGCCTTCAGCACCGATCGTGTGGGAGAGCATGATCAGACGCAATAACACGCCAGTCGGATTATAAGGTCATCGTCGAACCAAACCGACGAGACCCTTTTTCATCATTCCCTTCATCCACCATTTTTTAGACAACATTCCGATCCAGAAAGGCCCACGCCCGGGGTGCAGATCCAGTCTGCAGCACGTCCTCTCTATCACATCTCACATTCTCCCTCGACCGCTTTGGCTCTGTCCCTCCAGCCTTTTGGGACAAAGTACAACACCAAAGAGATGGGATGAGAGAAGGATTGTGCAAGACAATTTCGTCAAAGCTTTCGCCTATACCGATTTTTTTTTTCATCTTCAACGATTGTTTGATACTTGGCAACCTCGAGCAAGCGCCGCGTCACACAGCCACACAAACAGTACGCCAAGCATGGCCCTAGTCAAAGGGAGCGGTGGCCAGGTTCGAGAGACGACAATTACACGGTACCGGTGTATTTGGCTCCGGGGCCATCACCAACCTTGGCTTGGGCACATCGACGATGCTGCATCGCGCTAAGGCAGCCTTCCGCGACATTTTGTCCATATGGACGGGCCCTTTTACCAAGAAACCGACGCCGTCTCCAATTTGAATTCCCGTCTGCATGGCTTCGACGGGACCGATGGAGGGATGATGGCTGCACACACGCAGTAAGAGGGGGACGGATGAGGGGTCTCGACCATGCTGATCCCACATGATGAGCCAAGCAACACATTTGCATGGCTCACGCTGTAAGAGGAGGAATATTTTATCATCATTGAAAGAGGGGAGGGAAGAGGGAGATTTTTTTCGGAAAAAAGAAAACACAGCAAGGTGCAAACCTGCATCTCACTCACGGCGTTTGCGAATTCGAGCATTGCGGACAGGAAGTTACGGCGCTGACACGGAAACGAGCATTTCAACAATTTCCTTCATTTTTCTGAGTAGCAGGAGGAAAGGCACCAACAGGTGGGAAAACAACACAGAGAAACAAACCGCCACACACAGCCAGCAACAACAACTTTGTGTGGACACGAGGATCAGCAGCACGCGGAGAAAGTGCGGAATCATGGGTTATTTGGACGGGAGGGTCCGCAAGGGTGGGAAGCAGAAGAAGAGACGGCGTCGCGGACTATTCAACTTTATTCGGGCGCCTACGCCGACCACGGCACCGGGCTAGCGGCGGCTCTCCCCGGTCAAGCAAGACGAGACGAGACCGTCTACCCTCCATCACGGCATCTCTCGCTCAGTCTTTCCTCTGTCTGCTCATGGTCGGTCAGGTCGTGCATTAGCCGACGTGGCCCGCGTTTGTCTCGGCTCCCGACTTTTATCACCTCCACACACCTACTTCACTCTCACTCTCACTCACACGTGTTGCGATAAAAGCACTCAACGGTTTTCAACCGCAGACACTTGGCAGCATTTTCATCCGGCGATGATTTCATTATGTTCTTGATTTCGGCGTGTTTCTGATTGGAAAGCAAGGGAAAGTGAATTGGAGTTTGGGATAAGGCACCAGCATGTTTTTCATCGTTTGTCCTGCTACCACACGGCGGACTGGGTAACGGGAGTTTGCATACACATCTTTTCTAGTTACTTTTGCTTATGGCCTCTTACAGTTCCCTCCACCCATCACCATTTCGGATGGTGTAGAGGGAAGAGAGCGCAAACAATTTTCCTGTACTTACATACCCACCAATACCTCGTCACACATTTTTCACCAAACAGATGGATGCACTTTGGCAGCACAGCACAAACGGCGCAGTAGCGCTGATACCAGAAAAAAAGAGATTTGAGAAAACTTAGATACCTACTTTACACTACTTGCGTGTTCACTCCTCATCAAACCCTTGCCTCTTTTAGCGAAAGCTCACGTCTCTCGTGTTCATGTGCCCCGAATGCTTCCCAAGGCGCGGCTTCGTACCTCGCAGAATGTGGGTTTCCGTGATACTTTTCGAGGGATTCCACACTACGGAAGAAAGCGCAGGAAAAGGTTCAAAGTGCGTGCAGTAGCCGACATTCTGCAGCGTTCAACCGCCCTGCACACCTTCGCAAGTATACACACGTACATCCACCCCCGACGCCATTTCATCTAGCCCACCCAGTAACTCTCCATAGCCGTCCCTCTCCGAAATCCATCCTCGAACATGAGATGACACGGCCAGACACGCCCGGGCCAGAGAGGAACTAGAGCAAAACAGGGTCTCCATATACCGAGCAACACTGACTGGGCAAATTTTACCGCTTTGGTACACGCAACGAGGGTTACATGGTTCGTGAAATAAAGCGTGCTAATTAGGAGGGGATGATTCAAGAGTGGGACTGGACTAATAGGTACCTTCATGGGCCATTTACCATTCATTGCAAGGCGAGACACGACAGGGCTTGACAGGGAAGAGTGGAGAGGGGCTTTTCTGGTTAGCTCGACCACTACGAAGTACACACACGTCACAGGGTTGTTGCTTGATGTGCTTAGTGCTGTAACGTGTGGGAGGGACCAGAGAGAGGAGCGAGGGTGTGTGTGAGTGAGCGACTGAGAGAGAGAGAGTGTGTGCGTCTGTCCGTCTGCATGTGTGTGCAAGGGGAGGGGAGGCATGTACGCGCGAGGAGGATTGACCGGTGAAGCTGCACTGCAGTGGCCCGCCGTCCTCTCGTTGGTCGTCGTGTTACGAGATGTGCCGAGCAAAGAGTGAGAAAGGCAGACCGAGCTTATGGACAATGGGACCGGTGGGAAATGAGACAAGTGATAGGGGAATCAGGATAGCGATGTGGTGATGTCGGGCAATTTTGGGTTCTGTTGCGCTGTCCGGGCCTTGCGTTTGACCGTGAGCAAACGGGTCGAATTTGGGTTGCTAAGAAACAAGCGGCGGGCAGTTTTCTTTTGAGCGGGTGGTGATGAAATCAATGGCACACACACCACGCAAACGATACATGACACTGACGGCCGTCAGCCATCCCTTTGCGGCCCGATGCCGCCCACTCTGGACTGACCGGTATTACAGACTAGACGTCCTCGGTGAGGGATCAGGTGTAGAACGAGTGGGAGTGCCAGGGTCCCGGACGAAGGAGCGACTCCCACGGCATCAGACGGGGTTGTTGGCGTGGGGTGAGAGAACGTTTCGTGGGACCCTTGAGATTTGTCCATTCCGTCACAGAAAAGAAGCCCTCCCCTCCCCGTCTATAGATACCGAATCCAGGTTGGCTCGTGGCACGTATTTGGGCATCTAGGGTCCCGCAAGCCACCACGCCTTTCTCGAGCAGTAGCGTGGTGGCTGTCTTTTGGTGCTTCGGAACTTGGAACAGCTCGACCTGCCCGACGTGGGAGAACGTGGGATCAAGAAGGGAGAGGGAGGGGGTGGGGGCTAGTGGCAGTTAGTATGCACGACGGGGTATACCAGATGGTCATCTGAAGGTGTTTCGAAGTGCCTCCCGCGCGCTGGCCCCCGTCAACGACATTGATGAACGGTGTGAGGTGAGGTTTTGCGTCGTGGGGTGTAAGTGGGCATTGGCGATTTCACGCCAGAGACCAAGTTGGGCACACAGGACCATGGGACAATGGGCTGCCTCTCATTCAAGTAAATGCGGCTGCTGGCAGTTGGGATGCCGTGCATCGTATCGTAGCTCAGCTGATGAGAGAAAATGGGTCGGGCACCGTCCAGCGCAATTGTACAGCAGAGCAGAAGCATTACAGATACGATAATGATATATCTGGCTACACGTCATGTAAGGATACATTTGATGATGCGCTGCGACGCAAATGCGAGAGCCCATCAGGCACGACGGGCCCCTCATTGGCGTACCTGTTGGGCTCTGTGCGACACTGTATGTTGTCTCTGGCACTCTCGTTAAGCTGTCTTATGAGCCACGGGGCGTTTGGTGCAGGGCTTTCGAAAATGTCTTGGACGTCGGCATGGCACATCAATGATTCGAGGTACATGTGAGGCGCGCGCGTGTGTCTGCGTGGGATATGTGAGAAGAAGTGTTTAGGGGGGTGAGGGGTGAGAGTCTGTCTGTTGTACAGGAAAGTGTGCATGTGAGCTCGCTCACTAGGTATGAGTATGAGCATGAGACTGACAGTGAGAGTGAGCCTGAGCATTGAAACATTCGGTATGCCCACTCATGACGATGGGGCATCAACACTAACACACGCTTCGTCCCGATTTCCAGTCTAGTCTCTCGGGACTGTACGAAATACTCGGCCTTTCCAAGATGACCTCTGTCAAGTTGGGTTGTGAACTTCTGGCAGTACACGCCGGTTCGGGCCACTCTAACGGCCTTCAGCCAAGCGACATTGGCAATGAAAGGCTTCATCGGTTGGGCCAACGGCGCCGTCCGGCGTAGCCCGCAGAGGTGAAGCACATGGCACTCAAGGACATGGCAATCTAGCCTAGCCCAAGTTCTAACTGCCACGCCGGGCGATCAATATCGCAACCTGCTCAACTTGGGTGACCGGTGAAGGTGTGGATCTTGTCTCCTCCCTCCGTACAGAGAAGTCTCTCACCCTCTTCATCGTTTGCAGATTGATTCGACGCCAAGCCGGCTACGCTGGATAAATCCGTTGTCAAGCAGCATGCGGGTGTCAAAGAAGCTGCGCGTCGCAGCAAGCAAACGGCTTTTTTTTTAGTGCTGCAACTCGGTCGTCATGAGGCATCATCGGCCCCCCAGAGTGAATGAAAGAAAGGGTGGGCTGAAAATGGGGTGTTTGCCATTATTGTAAGACAGTGTGAAGTACATTCATGGTTGTTGGCCAGTTCTTGAGGCCGCATTTTGATTGCATTCGCGCCGGATCAACAGTGCATTGCACGTCTGTAGGGCAAAGGCTAGTGGCACCTTCTTCGAAAGCTTAGGTAGAATACACTTTTTCGTGTCTTTCCAAGCACAAGAGCTCACGTAGCAGTCAAGCACTACCAGATATCGTGGGGTTGAGAGGAGGGTAGGGTGCAACTCAAGATACCCAAACCTGCTGTGTTCCCGTACTCGATGCTCGGTTTCCGCCGGTTGAGCTGAGGAAACTGACTTCCAGACTGCTGAAGCTCTTCACACCCTTCCCGGAGAATGCGCGGCTGCATGGAGCTATGGCCATTGGACGAACAGGGCCGTTGCATCCCATCCCATCCCACATTCACGTCGCAACGGCAGTTAAAGTAAGATGAGATGCCGGGGTGAGACTGTCATCTTGTCGTCAGAAATTGACCGGTACGGATACAGGCGCAACATATGAAAAGCTTACATGTCGCAACTCGCAAACACGCAAGCAAAGTGAGTGACTCGGGATGATGAGTGGTTTCGTTCAAAAATTTCAGGGATGCCGTCCTTCATCTGGATGCTTGGGCCGTTGGAAAGAGTTTGTCCCTCAGTCATAGCCTATGGCAACTTAGCCATGTGTGCAACCGATGAAGAGCTCGAGGGGTAACCCTCACAGGCCGAGAATGTCGCATCTGCCCCCCTCTCTCTACCTCTTTCCCCGTGGTGGCCTGCTTGCTCTTCGCGCCTGTCACATATCATATCCCCTAGTAGATCTGAAGGCTGCTTATCTGCCGTCACCAGCCTTCTTGTCACCTTCTCGAAGGGTAAAGCCCCCCCCCCCCCCCCCCCCCCCCCTTTCCCCCGTGGGGGCCGCTTTCCTTTCCGGCCCTGTCAAAATCCATACCCCCTGGTAATCTGGAGGCTGGCTTTTCTCCCCCCCCCCCCCTTTTTTTCCCCTTCCGAAGGGGAAAACCCCCCCCCCCCCCCCCAAAGATGAACAGAGCGTCTCCGGATGCGCCTAATTGCTGAAGATAATTATGATAAGATTAGCCGGGCAAAGTCGATATCATCAGACTGGTGGTATCTTGAGTGGCATGTCGTGACAGCATCTTTCCTCTGACCTGGCCGCGATAACAATCTGCCAAGGGAGAGAGAGTGTGAGATGGTCCTTTGCACCTCGACTGGTTTCGGCGTGTCTCGTCCCGGGCTCTGCATTTGGTGGTTTTGCGCGGAATCCTCCCCATTGAAACGATTCTTGTGGTCGCCCGTCACCTGATTGACTTTGGCTGCGCCATCTAGGCCGAAATGCAAACCAGCAAGCCACCCCCGAAAAGGTTGCGACGGGCAAGCTTTCTGGACTGGACACTCGCTCATCGGCATCCCTGGACTTCGTTCCCCCCTCGCCCTCATCCTCACTCTCGACCCCTCCCCTTCTCAAGTTCTCCCCAGCACTCGTTTGATTGACCGGTGCGGGGCCTTTGAAGCACTTGTGTCACTGTGTATTTGAAATGTAGCTCGGTTCAAGGTGGCCGCCAACTCGAGACAGGATTTCTATGGTCCATCATTGCAGACCGCTTATTAGATGGCAAGGCTCTGTCGGTCTGTCAAACCCACAAACCCCCGCAGATATTCTAACTGGAGAAGAACGATCCCGAGCTGGCTGATCGACCCTTCGTCATATTGTCGTCGTGCCGAGCTTCCTCAACGGTCTGTTGCCTCCGAACCCCAGGTCTCCACTGTTGCCGAAATGTTAGTGGGCAATGCGGTTTTAGTTATCCGACCTACGGATATTTCTGCAAATTTCCAAAGTGACGAGCCAGACAAGCCGCATGTCGCCAGCGACATCCACATCCCGAGACGCCCCGTCGCGCGGTGTTGCAGACAAAACGTTCAGTGGATAGCTATCACTCAAAACGTACCGGGAGCCCCATCTCTATTGGGGGCCACAGTACCCTTGTTGCCGACACATGCGAAAGGATGGGATACCTAGGTGCTAGTTACGGAATAAAGAATTTGAGTTTCATCTTGTTTCCGGACTCTGGCTTCTTAGGGGTTGACGTAAGGCCATTCCGACCTTCTTCAGAAGGACTTTACGACCGACCGAGTCTTCGAAGAACCGGGGTCTATATTAGCATCGCTTCGGTCTAAGATATTTGACTTGTCGAAGGATTTTGATGAGGGGTAGCATGAGAACATGGAGGGTTTCCACTGGCAAAGCTTGCTCACCGAGCCATCCCTCTAATTCCGGGCTGCTCCAAACCATCCAAAGATTGGACAAGCCAGGCCAGGTGAGGTGTACTGGTCCGGGTGAATGTCAACTAGGGGAATGTCGGCCACGCTCATTCATGCCCGCTGAACCTGTACGACAGTCAACGAACTGCACCCATCCCAGGAGTAACGAACCTAGCTCTGCACACCCTCCCGAGATGTCCTTCCTAGGTACTCCGTACAGTTTGACGGCGGCTCTGCGAGTTCCAAATCCACAGATGGACGACATTCATTTCTCATCTTCCGTCACCTAACTTCGGCGAGCGATACGCCGCATGTACGCAAAGCTCTTCGAAAGGGAATCGTCTGCTGTAGCCCGGCCATCCCGCGGAAATTTGAGACGGGCAGGCCTTGGTACCGAGCGCGGCGGGCACGGAGCCGTCGCCGCAGATGTTGCCATAGTTCGACCACCCTGTTGAGTCTGTTATGCAAACGTGCCCCTACAACATCCATCAACAGACAGAAACACGTGACCGGAGCTCGCCCGAGTGTTATGTATCTGTACTTCGGTTACTTCAACTCAGTTAGTCCAGGGCAAGTGTCAATCATGGTCCCCTAACATGGATCGGTCTCCGGGAGGAT